TGAGCAGGCTCGTAACCAAGTTCCGCAAGAAACAGATATTTCATGGCAGCTTCGTCTCGCCGTCCTTCCTACAGCAAAATTTTAGCTCCAGAGAAGTAAATAGCAAAAAAGAAACATGAGCCTTTATTATACTTTTGGTAGCATAGGTTGCTCTCACTCTCTGAAAGGATAACTGGGATATGGAAACAGATGAATAACCTTATATGAAGTGTATGCTTCCATAAGTTTTTCGCTCCAACGTCCTCGCTCGGCTACGTTTTTGTAAAATTCAACGGCTGTTGTACAAGATCTTAACACTCCAATGCCTGAAATTAATCTCTAGCAAAATGAATCTGCGAAATTTCTTTTTAATGAAAATGAACATAACTAGATTATATTTAACCCATGTAAAGAAATGCATAACAATGTCGGAATGACAAACCTGAGGAATGCATGCGTGCAAGGTTATATGAGGCCAATACGTGTCCATTCTGAGTTGCCATCTGATAGTACTTCAGTGCAGTTTTGTAATCCCTCTTCACCCCAAGACCATCTAAAACGATATCATTCAATAAAATGGAAGAATTTTAGAAGAAAAACGTACTGAAGAACATGTCTCCGAGGTACAACTGCGCATCAACCCAACCCTGCTCGGCAGCAAGAGAAAACAAACGATACGCTTTTTCGTAATCCCTACGAACGCCTCTTCCTTGCATATACATAACACCAAGACCGGCCTGGCCATTGTGATTTCCCTAAATGAATTACCTTCAACGTGATTAACAGATTAAAAGTCCAAGCAACCTTGTCAGCACTACGCAGGAAAAAGTTGAAAGCTGTGGTATTGTCCTGTGGAGTTACATGTGTACCATCTAGGTACATCTTTCCAAGAAAAGCAAAAGCACCAGCATGTCCTGCTTCAGCAGCAGATGAGAAGTATCTGGCAATTGCAGAGTACAAAAGTGAGATAAAAATGAAAAGTTTGAAGGAGAAGTTAACGTCTCGCTTCCATAATGTCCCGGAAATAAGCAAACAAAACACAATCTACATAAAATTAGGTATCATGAACTGCAGCAGATAATTCGTAAATAGTCTTGATAACTTTACTAAAGGCAATTTGTGGCTTCAACCCTACACTTTGGCTTTCTTTCCAAAAACTATGTTTTCATCAGAAGTCCATAAACATACTTGTTAGCAAGCTCAAAATTCTGCTCGACACCTCGACCACCGGTGAGATATAGTTGTCCGAGCCCGACCTAAACTTTCTTACTTTGTCATCCATACCAGGTCCTACGAGAGAAAAAAAAGCTGTCACGAAATAAGATGAGGAAAGTCAAAAAA